ACAAACAAGTTATACAAATAAATCATACTTTTATCTGGGGTTATAGAGACTCTGGAACAGAAGTGTGTATAATTAAACCACACTTAGTGGAACATTAATACATGTGCCCAGATGAGACCATGATCCTGAATGGTTTAAGAGAGCCTGTATTTTTAGATCCGGTAGCCTGGTTAAATATCACATTCAGAGGACTTAAGATGCCATGGAAGTTTGCAATCCACAATGATATTCCAGTGCCCTGTCTCATTGGGAATGATTTAGACAGATACTTCACATATGCCTTAGTTATTATTAGGCAACAAGAAAGGAAAATTCCTCACAACAAGAAAAACTAATACATGAAGAAGAGAAAAAAAAATGATGATGTTAATATGGCTAATGAATCTGAGGGAGAATTGACTGAGGTGATCGGTGTAGAAAAGCTAACAGAATTTAGTCAATAATAATAATAATAATAATAATAATAATACCTTTGTTCACTCTAGTTGAAGAAGAAGACTTAGAGTTAAGTGAGGAACATCCTCACAGATTCAAGGTCATACAGCATAAATTATACAGAGAAACTTTGAAATGCAAGCATAATACTCAAAAAGAAATACATAGACAATTACAGTCAGCCCTCCATTTTCATGGGGGGATCCATTCTAGACACACACACACACACACCTAAAAAATCCAGACTCACTGATATTCAAGCCCCTTAGACTTGAATGGGGTGTGCCCCAATGGGCATGTGCAGGCACATTCCCGCAGGGGTGCACCCGAGGTTGCCCCTCCATGAATATTCAAAACCGACTGTAATTGTTCCTATGAAATATAAAAACAAGATATTGAAATTAGCTAGCTCATTCAGAGGTCATTTAGGAATCAAGAGAACTATACAAAAATATCTCAGAATTTCTATTGGCCAAGAATGGGAAAAGATATCAAACACTTTTGCAAGTCTTGTGATGCTTGCCAGAATGCTTTACAATAGGAGGGAATTTAAAGACTGCTCAAAGTAAACGATAAGAAGGCAAGAAATAGAGACTTTCTACCAGGAGATGAAGTTTTGATTCTTCAGCCACTGAAACGAAATAAACTACAATATGCATGGACTGGTCCGATTCTGATTTCTGAAAGAATCAATGATGTGAATTATATAGTGGACTTGGGAAATTAAATTGGTTGTAAATTGGTTCATGTTGATATGTTAAAACCCTATCAAAGAAGGGAAAATGTGGTGCTATATGCCATTAAAGAAGCAGAGGAAGAGGAAATTCCAATTCCAAATTGGGAACCTGAAAAAGTTTTGCAAGGAAGTGCACAAGAGGTTACTCTTGACCCTTCCCTTTCTTCTCATCAAAAGGAAGAAGTAATTGGCCTGATAAACAAATATAGGAACATCTTTTCAAATCTACCCAGTAGAGCAAAAGGAGTGTACCATAATATTAGAACTGGTGACGCTAATCCCATTGCTACTTCTCCATATAGAGTAAACTGATCATTTGGCTAATAGAGAAATAGAGGTGATGCTTAAAATGGAGATAATTAGACCGTCGGAAACTCCTTGGGCTTAACCGGTAGTATTGGTCAAAAAGCCTGATCATACCATCTGATTTTGTGTAGATTATAGGCAACTTAACAAAATAACTCAGACGGATGCTTATCCCATGCCTAGGTCTAAAGATTTAATTGAGAAAATGGGTAGGGTTCAGTATATTACTACTCTCGATTTGAACAAAGGTTATTGGCAAATCCCCATGAGTCCACAGGATCAATCAAAAATGGCCTTCATTACCCATGTATTTTTATTTGAATGTACTGTATTACCTTTTGGTTTAAAGAACGCTCCATCAACTTTCCAATGTTTAGTGGATATTGGCTGGTTTAAAACATTGTGTAGTGGCCTGTATTGATGACATTGGGGTGTTTGGTAATTTGTGGGAAGAACATGTGGGGCACCTAGCAGAAGTCTTAGAGAGACTTAAAAGGAGAACGATTAAAAGTTCTAAATGCCGTATTGGAAAAAGAGAAAGTTGGTATCTATGTTATGCAGTAGGAAGTGGAAACAACTTCAAAACTTGAAGCTGTAATTAATTGGCCGATTCCGGCTTTGAAGAAGGGTGTCAGATCATTTTTGGGATTGGCAGGTTATTATAGGAAATTTATTCCTAACTTCAGTACTATTGCAAGTCCTTGGTTCGATTTGACAAAGAAGGATAAACCTGTTAAAATCCAATGGTCAGAAAAGTGTAAAAAGCCTTTAATGAAACGATTGATAACTACTACGCCTATATTGGTGGCTCCAGATTAACCAAAAACTTTTGTGGTAACTACTGATGCCTCCAATGTAGAAATAGGAGCAGTTCTAAGCCAAGAAGGCAAAGATGGTCAATTGTACCCAGTGTTGTTCTTAAGTAAAAAAATTGTTACCAAGAGAAAAACATTTGGCCACTATTGAGAAAGAATGTATGTTGATAGTCTGCACCTTAAACAAGTTAAAACCATATTTGTGGGGGAGAAAATTTATGGTAATAACAGATTATTCTCTCTTATGTTGGCTGAATCACACAAAAGATAACAATGGCAAATTATTGAGGAGGAGTCTATTACTCCCAAGATTTTGATTTTTTGATTCAATATGTGAAAGGTAAAGATAATATAGTGAGCGATTGGTCAAGATAGTCTGAAGATCTGTAAGCAGGGAGAGATATACCAAGGAATGTTGTGTGTGTGAATAATAAAGTAAGTATAAGGAATGTATTATATAGTCAAACAAATGTTATATAATGTTATGATTAGTTTTGGGAGGAAGTGCACAAGAGGTTACTCTTGACCCTTCCCTTACTTCTCATCAAAAGGAAGAAGTAATTGGCCTGATATATAGCACTCTAAGTGAGGGAGCTGCTGATATTTGATATCCTGCAGGATATGGGCCTGTACAGACTGCCAGAAATGACCCAGCTTGAGACCACTTTAACTGTCCTGGCTCAATGCTAGGGAATCATGGGAATTGTAGTTTTTTCTGAGACATTGATCCTTCTTGGTCAGAGAGCTCTGGTGCCACAATAAACTACAGTTCCCATGATTCCCTAGCACTGAGCCAGGACAGTTAAAGTGGTCTCAAGTTGGATTTTTACTGGCAGTCTGTACAGGTGCATAGTTAGGCTATTATAGAAATAAGGTTAAAAGGATAACCATAAATAAGGATGGTGTGAGGATCCTAAAGAATAGTAACTGTTGTTCTCTAGAGTTAAAGAGTGCGGAACAAGAACAAGTGAATACAACATCGAAACAAATACAACATTGTCAACTATCATCCAAATAAAGTTTTTTTTTTTTTAATACAAGCTCATCTCAACCTGGAATCTTTATCCACGCTACTAAGAAATAATAGAAACCAAGTTTGGGGATATAAATAAAAGTGGTCTGGTACATGACAAACTGGTGGTAATGGCAGGATAGTAAAACCCATAGGGCTGCCATCTGAGGGGGGAAAAGGTAGGTGAAGGAGTCGCTCTTCACATAAATCGGTGGCAGTGGTGGGATAACAATATCCATTAGATTACCACATCAAGAAAAGTAAGTGGTGCTCGTGATACTCATCACATAATACAATATTAAATAAAGCAGAAGACAGTAGGAAAAGAGGAACACCTCATTACATCTGCATCCACACTGCAGAATTAATCTGGTTTGATACTACTTTAACTGCCAGAGCTCAATGCTATGGAATTCTGGGAATTGTAGTTTGTAGGGGCACTAGAGACCTTGTAGAATTACAAAGCAACTGCACCAGCCAGGAAGGAGATTTTCATACAAACGCATAGTTGTGGGCATCTTGCCCATGTGGGCCCAAAGGTATCTTTGGATACAACTCCCGTGAATCCTGTTGAACTGACCAGATTCACTATACAATGCATATGAGGTGTCACCCATGGTCAACTGGTTGGTCAGCTAATGATGGAGGGTGGAATCATTTTTAATTGTTGTTGTTGTTAACTGCCCTTGTGTTGATTTTGACCTGTCTTGCAGACTAAGGGCAACACATTCTCTGATTGAATCTATCAATCTGGAATGTGGTTTTCCACTGTTCCTACTGCCCTCCACTTTGCCAAGCATTATTGTCTTTTCTAATGAGTCCTTTCTTCTCACCTTCAGTAACCTTTGCTAAATGGAAAGTTCAGGCCTGATCAACTCTAGGACCCATCCATCAGTCTTTTTAGCAGTCCATGGTATTCTCCTGCATCATATCTCAAATGCATTAATTTTCTTCATATCAGCTTTCTTCACTGTCCAGCTTTCACAATCAAACACAGATAAGGGAAATATGAAGACATGGACAATCTGAACTTTAGTATTTAGTTATACATCTTGACATTTCAGGATCTTGCCTAGTTCCTTCACAGCTGCCCTTCCAAGCCTTAGGGGCTGCATAGATGCCGGATTGGGGCCGCGGCAAACACATGCCACAGCCTCGATCTGGCCTTACTGCGGCACAAAAAGAAGCAGCAAAAAGCGACTCCTTTTTGCACCGCTGAATGTGTGTTTTACCTGTGGCAGCAGTGGCTTTTCACAACTTCTTTGGCACAGCACGTGTAAACGCTATGCCGAGGACACACCCTTTGGCCGCCTCCCATGTGATTGCTTGGGCAGTGCGAGGGCGATGTGGGGGCAAAGTCGGAGTGCCTGCCGGCGTGCGATCATCATGTCCCATCTCCTTCCCCAGGCCAGCCCTTTTGGCCGGTCTGTACAGGTCCTAAGTCTTCTGATTTCTTGACTGCAGTCTCACTCTGATTGATTGAGCCCAAGTATGGAAAATCTTGGGCCAGTGGCATCACTAGGGACATTCAGATTGCACCGGGTGACACCTCGGAAGTGGGACAACACCTGGTCAGGCCCTTCTCCTGCAGTGGGATGAAAAGAGGTGAGCACAGCCTTTCGGCTTCACCCTGGTGGCAGCTCTCACCTCAGGAGGAGGCCGCCAATAGGAAGAAGAAGGGCAAGTACACCCTTTGGGCAGCGCAGTGTAATGGTTTCAGCTTTATACTATGACTCTGGAGAACAGGGTTCAATTCCCAGCTCAGCCATGAAACCCACTGGGTGTCTTTGAACAAGTCACGTTCTCTCAGTCTCATAGGATGACCATGGCAAACCCACTCTGAAGAGACGTGCCAAAAAAACAACAACAACAACTCATGATAGATTCACCTTAGGGTCGCCATAAGTCAGAAATGAATTGAAGGCACTCAACAACAACTAAAGAAAATATAGGCTCTCCCTGCTCCCGATGAGGAAGGTTGCTTCTTAGAAACCAAGGGGATCAGGGTGACCATAGGCGCTCCTTTCCCAGGACACATCCTACATTTCCACCAGGAGGAATTCCCAAATGTTCTCCATTTGGAGCCTGACTAAGAAGCCTGAATTTATATTTGTATGAGCGTTTTGAGTTTTTCTCTGGCCAGGTCCTAAATTTTCCTGGAATGTCCTCCATTTTGTGGTGCCTTGTTTTTCTTTGTGGTGAGGACCTCTGGTCACCCTGAATGGGATTTACTTCAGAATAGAAGGGGAGGATGGTGGCTGGGTGGGGAACAAGAAACTAGCCCCACATCATGACAAGGCAATCCTCTCCCTATCTCCTCAGAAGTAAAGGTGTGCTCTTTTTTGGGGAGTAAAAGAAGGAAGGCACATCTTACTCCTCTGTCAGGGAGCAAAGGAGAAGGCAGGGCGATCAGAGGTCCTTAACCACAAAGGAGGACGAGGCACCACAAAATGGAGGGCCTTCAAGGAAAAAAGGAGGTCATGACCAAATAAAAAAGCTCAAAACCCTTAATATAAATATAAAGTCATGCTTCTGAGTCCTGCTCCAAATGGAGGACCTTTTGGAATTCCTTCTGGACAGAAGGCTGAGATGGAGGATAGGTCCATCTCAGATGGAGAAAAGGAGGACCACCTCTGGTCATAGAGGAAGCCACCTCAGCACACAGCCATATTTACAAGTTGGCACCAATGTATTTCAGTGCAAAGGTTTCAAGCAGGGACAGACACCTTTCCTGGCTGAGGGGAAATAAGACGCCGCCGGCTGGAAAGAGAGTGACAGAGGTTGCATCCGCACTGCAGAAATAATCTGGTCTGGCATCAACTGAACTGCCACTGGCTCCATGCTATGGAATTCTGGGAACGGTAGTTTGTTGTGGCACCAGAGCTACCCTCACCCAGGGAAGGTACCTATTCGTGCTTGAAACCTTTGCACTGAAATACATTGGCACCTACTTCTGAGGAAATATGCCTATGGGCCAAGGTGACCAGAGGTGTTCCTCCTTTTCCAGGACCTTCTGTCCAGGAGGAATCCCAAACTTCAAAGAAGCATGACTTTGTATTTATATTGCTTGGAGCTTTTTTCCCTTTGGTCCTGTCCTCCCTTTTTCCTTGAAGGCCCTCCATTTTGTGGTGCCTGGTCCTCACCCCACAGAACATACCCTTAGTGCCCTTGGCTGCCTCCCGCTATAGGGAGTCCCTGTAGACTAGAGGGAGGCAGCTAAGGGCACTGAGGGTAAGAAGGAGGCGACATGACCTAGTGGTTGGAGTGCTGGACGGCGGTTAAGGACCTCTGGTCACCCTGCCTTCTGGGGCCACCACAAACTCCCATTCCCAGAATCCCATAGCATGCTATGGAATTTGGGGAATGGGAATTTGTGGGGGCTCCAGAGCCAGGGAGGAAAAAAGGTCCCCCAAGGGAAATCCCAACACTCCTCTCAGCAATTGCATGGAGGGCCGAGGGGAGGGGAGAAGAGGGAAAAGCTTTTGGAGAGGTTGCAAAAAAGAGCCAGGGAGAAGAAAGAAAGAAAGAAAGAAAGAAAGAAAGAAAGAAAGAAAGAAAGAAAGAAAGAAAGAAAGAAAGAAAGAAAGAAAGAAAGAAAGAGGAAAAGCTGCTTGCTCCGCTTTGGTGCCACCACCCACTCCCATTCTCAGAATACCGTAACCTGGAGCTGTGGCTGGTGCCAGCCCGGATTAGTTCTGCAGTGCGGATGCAGCCAGAGAGAGAGAGAGCAAAGCCTTGGAGCCTGGGAGGAGGAGGAGAGTTAAACCAGAGGAGGCTGCGCGGTGTGACCCCCCCC